TTCAGATATTTTATTCATCAGTGCTAAATCTCTTTGATTCTTTCTATAGTTTCTATTTATCTGTTGAGATTTCCATCTCTTCATTCTTATTACCATCTCTGCTTTAAAGTTCATGATCATACTTTTCATAGTTGCTTTAAAATCCTTATCTGCTAATTCCAATATCTGAGTCATCTTGGAGTCTGATTTCTATTGACTATTTGTTTTCTTAATTATGAGTCTCATTTTCCTACTTCTTTGCATGTGTCATAATTTTTTATTTTATGTTGGACATGTCAATGATATGTGTAAGGAGTCTGGATTATGAAATCTTCTCTGAAAACATGCTGAGCTGTTTATTTTTTTCTGGCAGGCAGTTATATGGCACATCCTTCTGTTGCTTGCAAGATTGGTTTTCGTCTTTGTTAAAGCAGATCTTGCTAACCAAAAGATTGGCAGTTCAAATCCACCAGCCGCTCCTTGGAAACTATGGATCAGTTCTACTCTGTCCTATAGGGTCACTATGAGTCAGAATTGACTCAACGGCAGCGGGTTTGGTTTTTAGTTTTCTGTTGTTTTCAAGACTGGTTTTTGTCTTCGTTAAAGCAGGTCTATTTTGTCTTAAATTTAATCTTAGGGTGTGGTTCTTTCTCTGAGTCATAGTCCTCATTCTTAAAGTATGGCCTTTCTGGGGGTTCAACTGAACGCCTGAGGTGCCCAGTCAGATCTCTCCATTCTGGTTCTTCAATGTCTCCCAGTACTGCAGGTCCTCTGGTATTTCCGTTTAGCACTCAGTCTTGTGGCATGCAATGTTTGCTAGGCCTCATGGAGTCTCAGTTCTCACAGGCATTGCTCAGACTGTGGCCAAGAACCTGTGTCAAATCACCGTGCAGACTTCTGCCCTACTCCACCCTTACACAATTACCTCTTCTTTTGGCCACCTTCCCTATATGTTACTGCTTCTTCTGCAGCCTGGTATTCTGATTTTTGCCTCTTCTATGCTGGAAAGCAATCCCAGCAAAAAGCTGAGATGATGGTGGGGCTCACCGTGTGTATTTCCCTTCTCTCAAGGACATAGTCCTGCTCTGACCATTGTCTAATGCCTGAAAACAGTTGCCTCGTGTATTTTGTCCAGTTTATGGTTGTTTATGGCAGGAAGGCAGGTCTAGGACTAGTAACTCTGTCATGGCTGAATAAAAAATTCATGGGTTTATATTTAATTTTCACAAAGCCTTGTGAAGTAGTTCTTATAAAGTTGGTACTATTAATATAAGCCAGTTTTACAGAGAAGTAAACTCAGACTAGTGAGTGGAGGAGTCAGAATTTAACCTAGACAGTCAGATTCCAGACGCTATGCTCTGACTTAATATACTATGCTGTGTCTGCAGCAAGAAATTATGTTTATTTCCTTCACTGCAATTCTCACACTCTTTATTTATCTCTTATATGTATTTATATTTATTTACTTATTGTACTTTTTTTGGCCGCCTCTCTTACTGGTATAAAAGCACCATCTTTTTTCTATTTACACCTGTCTCCCAACTGCCTAGCACAGGAACAGGCTCTTGGTGGGTATTCAGTAAATATTTATCGAATGAATGAAGAATGTAGATGTCACCATGATAAAACAATTTTGAAAATAGGATTTTTTCCCACATATTTGGAACTTCAGACTTCATCTTGTCTGCCACCTTGTGGCATCAAAATTCTGCAACAAAAACAAACAAACAAAGAAACTAGAGGTGAGGAATGTACCAAGAAGTGATATGCATCATCAGAATCTTTACAATTATGTACATCAAAATATAATTACATGATAGGAAAAGAGTGACAGCAGGAGTTCTAGAAATCCGTCTTAGAAGTGGTTAAAACACCTACTGATAAACAACAGTAATAGCGTGATGAAGTGAGTGCAGAATCAACGTGTCTGCTTGACTGGTGAGTCTAGACATGACTTTTGGTTGAAGTAAAAAATAAGATCCATTTTTGCCCCTTTGCATATGCTATTAGAAAAAAAACAACAAAAGAAAAGCCAATCTTAGTAACAGTAGCTTCTAGAGCACTTTGTATCACTTATTATCGTATGTAAAATGGCAATACTTAGCCGATTAATTTCAAAATATATCTTTGTCGGACTTAAAACCATAAAGTTATGGTTCTTATCATCCTCTGTATGACAAAACAATATGCATTTATTTTTATCAGAAGCAAAATGACATGACGGTTTTTAAGCTAATTTTTGTGTTAACAAGTCTCCTAAATATATGCAGTAGACCTCACATTTACATAAAATTAAAGAAAGGATGCTTCAGCAAATGCAAATAAATGCAAAAAATGAATATTTTAATTCTGAGACATGATTAGTACCAACCATCACAATGTGGTAATAATACAAAAGCAAAATCCTGCATGCAGTGCATAACTTAATGGTTATAAGCTATTTATAGACTGAGCATCTTGAGTTATTTATTTATTTTGAGAAATATATTTATTGATTATATTTCAGACTGTTTTCAAATTAAGGATCTTTAAAAATGTTTTTATATTAGAATCATATGTACTGACTTCTGCAGTTCCGCCATATGACAAGCCCAGCAAAATGATTTATTTCACTTGGTGCATTATTAACTGTATGAATTGACTGTTTAACCTCTATTGATTTGCATTTCTTACTTAAGGTTCAGTTTAGAAACAAAAGTAAGAATTATTTTACAGCAGAAGGAAAGGGTATAAAAGTTAATCCTAACATAATAAGGAAGATTATTTTAATATTGACCATTATATATCTGCCCCTTGGTAATTTTCAAGGTCTTGAAAGATCAATCTTCATTTTTAAACATAAGTTTTCTCAATCTAAATAGTGAGCATATTGAGGCTGACCCTAGCATCCTCAGGAATTGTATCATCTTATTGTTCCTCTATTTGGATTATAGTGGAATATATGGATTTTTCATTCACATTACTTATTTTTATAACATCGTATTGAATTTTGATGTGACACGTGGAATCTTTTATTATTAAAAATGATTAGAAAACTCATCTAACTATTCTAATATCCTGGAGATATTTCCTTGAAATATAGGCCATGTTGGTGTTTCTTTTCACATGCTATGAAAACCATGGAGAAGGTGATGTATAATTACCTTCAGTCATCTCAATTCATTATTGTTAACATATACCTATAGATTTTTCTGGACTAGTCCCAATTATAAATATTTTTTCCGTTGTGCTCACAAGTTACCCAAGTATATCAGAAATTCCAATATCTTGACATACTAAAATACACTTTACACATCCAAATATTGCTTCTTTCAAAAGGAAATGGAGCAAAATTCTTTGACACACCATATGTCCTGATATTTGGGTTTGGAAATTATGAGTGTATAAAATACTTCCAAAAAAGGTACAGAGAGCAGAATTTTCTCGGTGTCAAAGGGAATCTGCCTTTAGATTCTGTAGTTTTCTTAAGCACGAAAGTTCCTTTCAAGCAGGTTATCTTGTGAATTTCAAAGTGGTTTTGTTGTCTGCAGGTCCTTGATGTCAACTTAAACCCACTATTAGTCTCCTTAGGGCTATGAAGAATCTTGGGTAGAACTTTTATATCCTAGTGGATGTGGGGTTGTAAATTACTTTTACCATGTTGGCAGATCTCCCACTTACATAATGGGTCTTAATATAACTGATAATTATGTTTCCCAGTGGTTATTAGCAGAGCAAGCAATATGTCTTCATGTTGATATTAGCTTTGCCATTGTATCGAAAAAAAAGTACAGGACATAAGATGAGAAAATGGACAGCACAAAAGTTATAGATAAATTCCTCTAAGTCAGGCAGGGAGAGTTAGAGGCATTATAATTTCAAAGAAGGAGGTATTTGAGAGGTATTCTGTAATTATTTGACGTTTGCTGTAGACTACCATATTTTTACGAAAATAATGTGGATCTTCTGCATTTTTTTTGCTGGCCCCACCCTTCCCCCACGAGGTGTTTTCTTAAGTGCACTATGCTATTTTTTTTTTTATAGCAATACTTGGAAGAGGATTGGCATGGCAGCACTTGTGGGGGGAGGGTGCAGTCAGCAAACAAACACAGTGTGCGTTATTTGCATAAAAATATGGTAAAATCAATAGTTACCCATGATGAGAACAAGCTCCTTAAGAAATAAGACACAAGATAGGCACATTTTTATAGAAGAAATGATAGGCTTGAGTAACCCTGGGGATTCTAAGATACCAGGAGATAACATAACGACAGAGTTCTGAGAAGGAATAGAAATATGAAAAACAAAACTTTTAAGGACATACCTACAAAGTGTTTCCCACCTTTGGACAGCTATAACACCCACCCTGTGAAGCACTCTTTCAATCAGTGTGCCATCATCAGGTAGGCCACAAACTTTCATGTCTTTGCTCATGCTTCTGTCAGAATTCTCTTCTACCACTCCCTATCTCTTCTGCTCTTCTGCAGTTTTGGAAATCCTTTTACCCTTCAATGCAACCTCCCTCACTTACCTTATTCTCTCTTTCCTATCTCTCTGCAGCACTTTGCTACTACACTTCACTGCCTTTTTATTTTGCCCTGTATTATGAATAGTTATTTTTGTGTCTATTCCTTCCAGTAAGTTATATGATCCCCTTTGTGGTCTCCATAGATGCCTAGTTTGACATAAATCAACTAGCGAATAAATGTTTTTGTTTCTTCTTTACATTTAAATGAAATGGAAGTTGCTCCTACAAGTCCATATAGTATCCTCTGCTTGTATGGATAGTACTTAGACTCGTGGTTATTAAAAAACAAAACAAAACAAAACAAAAAAAAACCCAAACAAGTTCCCATCAACGATTCTGACTCCTGATGACCCCATGTGTTTCAGAGTAGAATTTTCAGAAGTAGATCGCTAGGCCTTTCTTCTGAGGTGCCTCTGGGTGCATATGAACCCCAGCCTTTTGGTTAGTAGCTGAGTGCTTAGCTGTTTACACCACCTAGGAACTTCTCTTGTGGGTTTTTAATATCTCCTATTACCTGTGTGCATGATTCAGAGCAAGGTCGGGTTTTCTCATCCGTAGATAACACGTAACAAGCTTTGTCTCGATGAAACTTGCCACGCTTGCTATATCTTCAGCAGATGCTTCAAATGGCCTTCCCAGAGCTGCCCCTTTGCTGCAAAGCTTTAAAAAATACAATACTTTAAGTTTCGTTATATTTTTGGCATATATCTTTTAAACAGGCAGAACATATATATGTACACATGGCACAGTGGTTAAGAGTGCAGGCTGCTACCCAAAAGGTCGGCAGTTTGAATTCACCAGCCGCTCCTTGGAAAGCCTGTGGGGCAGTTCTACTCTGTTCTATAGGGTCGTTATGAGTCGGAATTGACTCCACGGCAACGGGTTTGGTTTTTTACTCTTTCTAAACTGCAGGTAAAATATTAATATTTTGATTGTAAATTAAATAAATTATTTGTTTGCATTATATGACCATAATACAACATAAGTAGCACATTTTACTGTAAAATGTTTCCTGTACATTATTTTTAAAAGTATGATGATAGATTTTAAAGGAGTGCCATTTGCTAAGAATGCCTATTTTAAAAATAAAGCACCCAGTAAGAAAAGATATTAACAGAAAGCCAGGTATAAATCTTATTAAATACCAGTGCTTTTATGAAAACCCAGCAGAGCAATGATCTAGCATGCTATCAAGTTTGATTTAATATAATAAGGGGTATCGGAAGTAAACTCCTAGGAGCCATTAACATGATCGGTGATTAATTTGAGTCTGAATCACATTCTCTAGAATGTTATTGAAAGGAAAGAAGTGAAAATTTATTAGAATGTATTGGCAGAAGCCACAGTATCTGAAAAACATGGCAAGAATGTGGAGTTCTTAATAAAAATTCCAGGAAGTCAATGGTTTCTGGGCACCATAGATAAACTGGAGAGGGAGAAAATAATTAAATTTTTGGGACAACTTCAACATTAAGTGTCAATAATATGACAAGGGTAGATCAGTCCTTTTCTCTCCCCTCAGAATTTTCTAATGTGTCTTGGATTTAAGGCTGATGGGGCAGGGGAAACCTCACCTTCTGTTTAGTGATCTTACTTTGTATCCACTTTGTTTTTTCGTTCCTCCCTTTGTGCATACACTGTGGGGAGGGGAATTTTCTCACAGGGGATAATAATATTTGGAGTTAATACCTATTTATATATATCTCAGTACAAAGTTTCTTGTTCCAAATCCTGCTTTGTTAAATGATATAATTTAAACACATTTTTCTTTTACTGATTAATTCTTGAGACTGGCTTGCCGTTTATATTGATATCATTGCCAATTTTTTTTAAAGCTCAATTCGGTTATCTAAGGATAGCTATATTCTGTTCCAAAGGAGCCCTGCTGGCATAGTGGTTAAGCACTCAGCTGCTAACTGAAAGGTTGGCAGTTCAAATCCATCCAGTGGTTCTGCAGAAGAAAGATCTGGAAATCTGCTTCCATAAAGAATACAGCCAAGAAAACCCTACGGGACAGTTCTAGTCTGTTACATGGGTTGCTATGAGTTGGAATCGACTCCACGGCAATGGGTTTGAGTTTTTTATATTTTCTGTTCCACAATGTATTTCCCTTCTTAATTTTACCCAGAAACAGTAAGTTAAAAAAAATAGAATGTAGATATTTAATATCCTTAATTTGAATTGTTAGTTACTTGATGCTATCGTCTTTTGCTTAACTATCCTGTGAATTCTGGAGGTTCATATTATTTTTAAAACTCTTTACCAATTATATGGGTGAGAACTGGTACTTCATTCATCCAGTCTACAAATATTTATTGAGCATTTACTACTATTTGCCAATCAAAAATTGCTGCCTTCACCTCTTAATTTGTATTCTATAGGCCAAATTTTCATAATTTTGACTATTTTGAGTTCTACTGTAAATTCCTGTTTTCTACTTCTTACTTGTTTTCACTGGCATTTTAATTTGTTAGAATTAATTGTAAGAGCTCTTTAGATATATAAGCTATTAACTGTTTTCCTGTCAAAACTCTATATACCTGATCAAATGTTAAGATGTTTTCCCCCAAAGTATCCTACTGACAAGAGAGTCTCAACTTTTATTCATATTCTTATAAAGGCTCTTAGAGTATAAACGATGTGTTTATATGGTATATACTAACTGCTGTATATAGAGCTTTTCAGTTATTTTGGAAGAAAAAAAACAAAGACTATATGTGGAAGATACAGTGAAAATGACCTCAGTCAATGCTAAGTTTGGATGCTTTTATAAAGATCAACTGGTAATACAAACAATACAGGAGACAAAACATTTAACACAGATTTAGTAATTATTCCTGAAAATCTAACATCACAAATGTTAATGTGATTGTAAGCCAATCATAAAAAAAAAATTTTTTTAAAGCATTATAGTATGAACATGGCAGCTTGGGACAACATGACCTCTCTCTCAATCCGATCACAGAGGAGCCAGAAAAATCTAAACAGTGCAATTCCAGAAAAAAAAAAAAAAAAGATTTTTGTATAGCAAAACTCTTTACAAAGACTGATTCAGTAGAAAATGAGTAGAAACTGTGTAGTTTTATTTATTAATATCTCATAGTGGTAAAATTCTGGACCTACTTGTTTAATTTTATCTTCTAAATGAAATAAGCATCCCTTCTGTCATGGATCGAATTGTGTTCCCCAAAAATATCTGTCAACTTGGCTAGGTTATGATTCCCAGTATTGTATGGCTGTCTACCATTTTATCATCTGATATGATTTCCCTGTGTGTTGTAAATCCTATCACTATGCTGTAATAAAATGGATTAGCGGCAGTTATATTGATGAGATATAGAAGATTAGATAGTGTCTTAAGCCACTCTCTTTTGAGATATAAAAGAGAGAAGCAAGCAGCGAGACAGGGGGACCTCATACCACCAAGAAAGCAGTGCCAGGAGCAGAGCGTGTCCTTTGGACCCGCAGTTCCTGTGTGGAGAAGCTCCTAGTCCAGGGGAAGACTGATGAGAAGACTGACAGATAGAGAAAGCCTTCCCCTGGAGCTGACGCCCTGAATCTGGACTTTTAGTCTCTTTACTGTGAAAGAATAAATTTATCTCTGTTAAAGCCATCCACCTGTGGTATTTCTGTTATAGCAGCACTAGATGACTGAGACAACCCCCTCCCCAGGTTTTAAATACCCCAAATTGAAGAGTCCACATTTTATGGAATCTTCACATAAACTCTCAAACAAAGATGAAACAAGCATGCCAAACATTGTGTGGTCTCTTTGCCCCTTCCTGGGCATGTTATTCTCTAACGTTACGGTATGGAGAGCCTCCTTTCTAAGGCACACTTCCTGGGGATTGAATGCAGAGGCTGTTCAGGGACTCGCTTCCAGGAGGACATTCAGATCTTTCATGGCAAGAGGAAGCTGGCCTTAAGATTTAATAATAATAAAGGCTTTATCTATGAATGGCAAGAGAATGTGAAGAATAAATGGCTGATCTTCTAACCTCTGCAATATTTTCTACTTCTATGAGATTCAAGGCCAGAAAAGGCATAAAATTGATCAATCTGAACACACTAAAGAGAATACTCCATGAAACCAAACTATGAGACAGCAGTGAAAGACAAGGATAATTTTTCAATTCACATTTATATGGGCAAATAGGGAGCCTGCTCTGTAGATTGCATGAATATTTGTTGTAATCTTAGCTTACCAATTAAGTATTGTAAGATTGAGAACTTTACTGATTTTATCAAAAAATTGTTTTATTTGTTTGTGCCAAAGCAGTACATCTCTGAAATAAGCTTTGCAATAAAGCAAATTATTATAAATGGATTGCAGTAAAAGGCAGAATTATAGGTACATGTAGATTTACTTACAAACGTTAATTTTAGAAACTGTGGCACAAAGGGGTTTCAAGCTTTGTTTAAAAACAGATAAAAGTAATATAAAGCACAATAAGAGAAAAAATAACCAATATTAAATATTGTATCGTGAGTACCAGTCTTAAAATGCACCCAAACATTTTTCTTTACGTAGAGTCATCATTAGCAAGATTAATACTACTAATAGGTTCTCCCTTATTAGAATATTGTATGGTGAGTGCTTGCCCACTATATTCCTAGGAGATCATTTTGAGTGGTCCCTGGAGATCCTCTAGGAGAGAACAATAAATCTTAAAAAAGTATCATTATTTGAGTTATTAAATATCTATAAGTAAGGAAATATATCCATCATTCATCCACTCAGTAACTCATCAAGGTTTTTAATTCTGTTTTGGAAATTAAAAAAAAAAAAAAAGCTAAAGGTGGAGAGAAAGTTGCTTATAACCTTATCATCATACATAATTGCTATTAATTTTTGGCATATTTCCATCTACACCTTTTCATGTTTTTGTATCATAATAAAGATTATACTGTATATATAATATATAATTTTCATGCTGCTTTTCCACATTTTGCTTTTTATATAAGTTTTCAATTAAAAAACATACACATATTCATTAAAAAATAATCATGTACAATTATAGTTGGGGACTTCAATAACCCCATCTCAGCAAATGATAGAACTACTAGATAGAAAACCAGTAAGAATATTGAAAATCTGAACAACACAACCAGCAGGATCTAACTGACATATATAGAACATTCCAGCCAACAAGAGAAGAATATTCATTTTTGTCAAAAAGTCACAAATATAGACCATATCCTGTGTTTCAACAAATTGAAAAGAATTGAAATCACATAGAGTATATTCTCTGACCATAATGGAATTGAAATTTAACAGCAAAAAACCCAAAACAATCCAGTTTTAAAGTGGGCAAAAGACATGAACAAACATTTACTGAAGAGAGTAAACCCAAAACCAAACCAAACCACTGCCGTCCAGTTGATTATGACTCATAGTGACCCTCTAGGACGGAGTAGAACTGCCCCATATGGTAGATTCAAACTGCTGAACTTTTGGTTGGCAGCCTAGCTCTTAACCACTGTGCCACCAGGGCTCTGATGAGGATATAGAGATGGCAAATAAACACGTGAAAACATGCTAAACGTCATTAGCTATTAGGGAAATGTAAATTAAGAGCACAATGAGATATCACTATATACCTATTAGAACGGCTAAAATAAAAAATAGTGACAACACCAGATGCTGGCTGGTAAATGCG